GAAAAAAACTACAGTGTATTAACAGGCAGGTAGAGAAATAGCTAAGCACAAGGCTTCGTAGGTATTATTGTGCATATAGCAGTTTCTGCATCTTCCTCCCTGGTACACCGAGGTTTTATATATTACTATAGGAGAAAACTCTAAATAGGGTCTCCAAACTCATATGAAAGGTGCTCTCCTGTTTACAGTCCCTGGGAAACAGTGCTATAAACTCTGGGCCCAACGAGAATGCCACAAATACTTCTCTCTGAGCCAGCTAACAGAAAACAGTCAAAAGAACAGAGCTATAAATCGCTGCTTCATTATAAATCACTGCATTTGGCACACCTGCCCCAGCACACCTCGGGGCTGTTGCTGGACGTGGTGTGCCTTTAATCCTTTTGGGTTTTAGCATTGTAGCCCCACTGGCAGCTGGCTTCGCACGTGTGAGCACAGCCGTATTGTCCCCTGTACCGCAGGGCCACAGAGCAGTCGCGCTCTTCGCTCCCAGACCAAAGGAAGTTTCTGAGAAACCTTGTTCTCCAGTTCCCTGGTCTTACCGAACGAGCATGGGGAGTCTCAGGAGCTGTGCTGTGTAACAGGGCACCCATCCAAACAGTGCAGAGCGTGAGCAAAGCAAGTTCAGGGTTGTCTGCACCTGTCTGGGGAGATGTGTTCTTTCTGCACAGCACAAGATCTTAGAATCAGGTCCTTTTCCAGTGTGAAAACAGCCTGGTTTTGATGCAAGATCAGCATGGAAAAATGTATTTAAAATGTAGAGAAAGAAATTTTTCCCAGTTTACAAACTGTTCAATGTTTACAAAGTTTTAAGTTGGAGTCAGTATCAAAAAAGCACAGATTCAGCAGCAGAGATATGAATAAGCCTTACAGTTGCTGGGCTTCTTGAGTTATACCAAAGAAGCTAGTCTAGTATTTCACAGAGTGATTAATAGCCTGAGTTTGTGAAGATTTTGCTTATTTTTGGTGAAGTTATTCCAGTAATTTAGAATAGGAATATTGTTTACCAGCCCAGGAAGATTACATTCGGTTGTGTTTTGGAAAGCTTAGAAGGGGACAGGGAGAATGAATGGAAAGAACCACATTCTCTGGATCACAAATCACGCCTGTTTGTACCTGAAAGACCATAAATTCAGCTGTTTGCAGAGTACTGGCATGTCGCCTGGGAACTTCCATTAAAAGATGTAGTTCTACTGCACTGCAGCACTTGGTGTCAAAGGTGGCATCTTTAGCATGCAAAGGAAAACTTCAAGGTCATGTCTGTGGTAAAAAGAGAAATCCCTCAGTAATTTGACAGCAGATTCAGCATCACCTTCCTGTGGGGCTGCTGGAGTATGTTCTCCAGTGACATTGCACCGTGCTCTGGCTCCCAGCTTTTAAGTTATTCCATTTCTTTTTGTTGCACAAGCCTTGCTCTAGGATGAATGTATGAATCTTTGTTTTGGTGATGTGAAGCAATCTAGCTTGCTGGGGTTTCTTACACACACATAAAGCGTCCTCTGAAGCCAGGGACTCTTTATTCTCATTAGCTCTAAAAGCTAATGGCCAGACAGGTCATGTCCCTTATGTCCTGTGCATGCCAGTTCTGCCTACATGCCTGCAACTCCCAGACCTTCCTAGCATCTTCCTGTCTCATTGGGAGGAGAATCATAACGTGGGCTCCCATGTAGAGTTTTGTGCTGGGACTGGGCTCTGTAAATTCACAAAAAGAGTCCCCCCAGCATAGCTAATGGACACAGCTGTGAGATACAACCTTTTCTGAAGAACCCGTTCCTGGCCCTGCCTCCTCTAGCCCCATGCCAAAGTAATAACTAACGCCATTTACAATTGTTTTGCTCAACATATGGGTCCCAGATAGGGAGAAGTAGCCAAAAGAAGGCAAATTTAACTCAGTGTGGTCAAGTCCTCACTGCACTAGGCTTGGGCGTATACTGGTGAGCCTGGCTTTACAACAGGGAAAGGACAAAAAGCCAGAGAGGAGAAAAGCTGAGCTCGGAGGGAGGGGCAGAGGAAGATTCTGTATGCGCTTGGGAAGGAAACAATGGGACAAGGGGAAGGAATTAAAAGAACCACATCCTTCTCTGCATCATAGCCCTGCAGTTTAAGTTACTCCCTCATGCTGGACCAACCCATAGTGCCCTACTTCTAATATTGCTCCCCTGTGACTACTGTGGTGAAGCTCCATCCCATTAGATGTGTCTTTACCCGGGACTATTAGGGCAGCAATGCTCTTAGCATGTTAGATCAAGACTCATTCCTTCTTTCCAATGACATTTTGATGTGCCCTTCCACCCTTTCTGGCTTATCCTAAGCCCCTAAAATTAAGCTCCAGCCCCCCAGCCTCTGCTGAACTAAGCCAAAAGATGTTCTTCCCTTCCCTCCACCTCTGACCCCACAGCCAAACCAACCCTGCTCCAGGCAGACTAGCTGTCTCCAGAGCTCCCCACAAACCTTCAGTGGGGAGGTCCTTCCCACCCACCCTGCTTTCCCTGCAATGCCTCTTGGGGAAGAGCTACACAAGGAAAGGACAAAGGCAAGATGGTGTTTCCTTGCACCCTTGCACCTATTTCCTTGTACCTGTGTCTTCTCTCACCTCTCCTTCCATTAAGTTTCTCAGACTTATCGTCTTTTTTTGTGAACTGTGGTGTGTCTCATTAGCGACCACACTGGTGCTTTAGCATTATTGATATATTCCGTAATATTTGTACTGCCCATAATGTTAACTTTTGCACACTCTGTGTTCAAAGCATTTGCAACTATTTACGGCTTATGTCTCATAAAAGCAGTGCAAGCAAAGTGGGGATGTCAGCACTAGCAGGCCCCACTTAGCAGATCAACTGATCAGTACAGAGAGGATCAGTTAGCAGCAGCAGCAACCTCAGTGTCTGAGCACCCAGCCTGAAGTCTTTTGGTCTGAACAACACAGAAATAGGTCTCCTCAATTTAATGTTCCTTTCAGATAAAAAGTCTGCAAGTGCCCATCCAGTGGGTCACCTTCAGAGGTATGTACAATGAGTCAAAATGGTCTAAAAAGTGCATGCGTGTTTATATACATGTGTATACACACATGCATGTATATATACATGCCTATATATATTATGTATATATATTATATATAAGTATACACGCCTATGCCTATATGTTGTATACATATGTATATACACATGCAATGTATAATTTATGTCGAAGCTAGAACTGAAAACATACAGTAACATAATTATATTATACTGTATATATTACATGTGTTATATATGTTGTATATTATATACTCATTCGCATGAGATACGATCAGGTTTCATTTTGCTTCAGTAAGCTTTTGACTACGGTCAAGGTATCTATCTGAACATTTGAGGTTCCCTGTTTGTAGGATGAACTATAAATGCTTAACTTCTCTGTCTCTGGAGAGCAGAGGAGCTTTATACCTTCCTCATAGTAGCTGTGAGAACATTGGGTTAACATTCATCAGGAAAGGCCCAAAACAACCTGAACACCACCATCCTCTCAGCAATCTAAGTGCTATGGTTCTGTGGTCACACCATAATAAACAGCACTACTACTTGGAGAACTCCTGTTTCTGAGAACAAAGTGAGTTCTAGGGGCAGGTTACACACTTGGAAGTGTACAGAGTGCTTCAGGATTTATTTGTTCACTCCAGAGAGAAAGTGAGTCATGAGAAACCTTAAGGTGGAGCACTCAAAACAAGGAGTATATAAATGATTAGCAAGGGAAGGTCAGCACTAGTCCTTCAAGTCTGAGCATGTCCCATTGTCAATGGTACATAAATAATACTCGCTGGATGCCTGTGGTTGCAGGAGAACAGCTATCACACTTCTGGTCTCTGACATGTTTCTGACTCATGTGATTGATGCGCCTGATCTCAGTTTTCTTAAAAAAAAGGTAGTTTGGGTTACAGGAGTGAAACGGTAAAAATGGAACTCTTATCAGTAGACCCATCTTCAAGTCAAAGCTGTGTGCTTGACAAAAGCCAAGCTTTTTATTTTGCAAATAAAAACAAACCCCCTTTACTACATGGAGGCCAAATGCAAGGATGGGAGATGGACCTGAATGCAATGCAATTAATCATCTTGTCAGATAAAATTCGATTGCAGAATCTTTATTAGCACACTGATGCAAATGGAAGAAAGTGCACTGCCTGTTTTCTTCAGATTGCAGGTTGAGTTTAGAGCAGTTGCAGATGGGAAAAAATCAGTTGACTTCTCAGTGAGCAGGAATCACGAGTGATTCACTTGTAGGTATCTGACAAGAGCATTGAGATTTATTTCATTTTTTTCTAAGATAAACTCTGCTATACTGTTGATTTAAAAGAAAATATTCTGTGGATAACACACCTAATTACACTAAATATGTGATCCTTAAACCCACTAATACTTGTGGCATTGCATCTAACTGCTGAGTACAGCTGTTCAGAGGCAGTAGGTTCTGGTATTTTCAGTAATATGAATTGTATCAACTATGGGGCAATCTCAGCCATTGTTGTAGTTTATTGTGCAGCTGTGACAGCTCTCAGACATCTCTGACACTACCTCTCTTATAGAGCTAATGAGTACCTTTTGCACTGGTGCTAAGCTTTTCTTCAGATACTCTCCAGTAAATTTCTTACCATGGGTTGAAGTTGGGCAGATGTGCTGCATTGTAGAGATGAGGCAAATCCTGAACAGTGCAAAGTGACAGAAGCTTCTGTGGAGTGGAAAAGTATACACTCCTACACTTTTATCTGGTCTTATGCTAAAACATGCATAAATTATTTAATAGGCATCTGCATCAGAAAGGACAGACTGTGCAGCATTGGGTGAAAAAGCACTTGTTCGACATATTTCTGTTTAGAAATTCAACAGTACAATCCTACAACAATCAAGCAGTTAGAAGAAATGCCAGGAAAAGGTATGTATATATATATGTATATACACATACAACAGACAACATACTCATCAGTCTGCCTTTTCTCAGGTATCTTCTCCTGCGAACTTTTGTTTCACCTACAGTCAGTTTAATACACCTTGATCCCTACATCCAAGAAGACATCTGGTTGAAAGAAAAGGAGCCAAGAGACCATAAAGGTGCAAAGCCAAGAGCAAGTGTTCCCTCTGAGCTGAGTGGGATGAGGTGGATGGGACACTCTGGACTTCTGGGTGGAGGGATCAACTAGAGCAGGGCTACATTGGGCATGAAAGTGCTTGTGGTTCAATGCCTTCTTGTCCCAGATGGAATAGGGGAGGTGACAAGTGCGTGATGCCAGTACAAAACCTGAATAGCAACTGATGCCATCCCTGCCTCTCCTTGCTCTCAGGCAGTGGGTGGCAGGAGTGGTGATGCTCCTGCCCTCTGCCTCTTGAGGCAAAAGGTAAGAAAGATTCAGTTCCCATACATCTGGGTAAGCATCCTGTTTGGGCCCATTTCCATATGTGCACACTGTCCAGTCTCAGTGCCATCTGACTTACCAGCACTTCTTTGCAGCCATCACTTTATGTCTAATTCTCAGCTCATCTGGCGACACTACAGTGCTGGCAAAATATGCCTCACCAGTGCTTCACTGCACTGTAGGATTAAAATGTAGTATTAAATTTTAATAGGGTTTAACACACTGCAGAACTGTAGAGTTCAATTAAATAATTTTGTATTTTTTTTCTATCCACATACATCTATAGCTGTGTGGCTTAATGTAATATATTTGTGGATATGGTCCATTAATCCCTTTGATTTGAGAATCTTAAAATGTTTTACAAATAAACTTTACCCATGGAATAGAAAATCCTTGCTCTGAACCATTCTTACCCCTCAGTATAGCTGAGATGCAGGGGAGACATACCTTTTGCCCAGTGGTTATGTTTTTCAGGACCCCAAAAACTCAGACACTGAACTGGCCAAGAGATGAGTCTCTTGCTTTGGTAACGGGATGTCAACTTCCTGCCTGTCAGACAACTTTAATTAGCACTTGACATTGTCTGGTTTGCAGGTTTATTTGTCTTTTTGCTTTCTGATCAACAAAGAGGTCTTTGAAAAATAATAACAGAAAAGTTATCTGAAGAATACCAATCATTGTACAAACAACAGTGGGTGAAATAGTGAAATAGAATTTGCTTTGTTTGCATATGTGGGGAGTGGCAGAAGGAAGCGGAACCAGTGAATGGCTGTGATACCATCTTTGAGTTGTAAGATCCTTTTCTAAGCCATTTCAACAAATTTTATACATTGGGTTTGCCTCATCTTTCTCTACCATCTGCAATCACGTGGCTACTCACTTGTGCAGCAATAGTTAGGGGAATCACAGAATCACAGAATCCCAAGGGTTGGAAGGGACCTCAAGAGATCATCTGGTCCAACCCCCCTGCAAGAGCAGGGTAAACTGGAGTACATCACACAGGAACTTGTCCAGGCGGGCCTTGAATATCTCCAATGTGGGAGACTCCACAACCTCCCTGGGCAACCTGTTCCAGTGCTCTGTCACTCTCACAGTAAAGAAGTTCTTCCTGATGTTAACGTGGAACCTTCTATGCTCCAGTTTACACCCATTGCCCCTTGTCCTATCACTGGATATCACTGAAAAAAGCCTAGCTCCATCATCATGACACCCACCCGTTACATATTTGTAAGCAGCCAAAACATAATTTCCTTGTTTAGACAGGTGAACTTCTGAAAAGTGTATCCCCTAACCTGATCTAGGTGCTGCCCATGGACAAGGCCCACATATGTACCTATTGCCTAGAACAGTATTTTTCTTGTGCATTTCTACAGGTACAATGAGTGCAGGTACAAGATGGACAGGTATGCAGTTTGCTCATGCAGAAATAATGAAATGCAATCTTTTTCCCTTTTTCTTCTTTGGGAGGTGCTACAGAGGGCTGCCATTTTCAAAGCAATTATCAGTCAAACAAAAGAATGAGACAGGACAGAATAAGAGCTACAAACTAATCAAGAGTTTTGGCAGCCACTTTGGATCACAGGAAAATGCACTGATTTGCATACATTGAATTGAATAAATAACCGACTTAACTCCTTAAGCAGTGCTGTCACTCTGTGTCAGTGTGATCCTCATGCTTATGCAGTGTATGAATGCTTTCATGCAGTGTAGACCAGCATGTCAGAGAGATCTGTGGTTCACAGCATTGCAATGAAAAAAGGGTATTTAAACCTGTAAGCTCAGAATTTCTCTGCCCCCATCACACAGGCACTTTCCTATGACACAGCTAACTGGGAGCACAACCAACTTCTCAGAGAAATTCAAAACAAAAACCATATATTTATTCCTTTTAAAAGACAGGAGGAATAACCCCCAAAGCTGACCAAGCTATTTCCTTCAGTCCCTTTTGTTATTTTCTAGTGTCTCTGGGCTTGAGTCAAACCACAGCTGTCCACCCAAGCCTTCCCACTGACTTCTGTGGGGCTTGGATGAGACGTGCTTGCTATCAAGCTTTGGTGCTGACCTTAGTGTGCCATCTCATCTCCCAGGCTCCCTGGCAGCATGGACAGTGGGATTGAGTGCACCCTCAGCAAGTTTGCCGATGACACCAAGCTGTGTGTTTCAGTTGATACGCTGGAGGGAAGGAATGCCATCCAGTGGGACCTTGGCATGTTTGTGAGGTGGGCTGATGCCAACCTCATGAAGTTTAACCATGCCAAGTGCAAGGTCCTACACCTGGGTCAGAGCAATCCCAGACACAGCTACAGGTTGGACAGAGAAGAGATTCAGAGCAGCCCTGCGGAGAAGGACTTGGGGGTGTTGGTCGATGAGAAAATGAACATGAGCCGGCTTCAGTGTGCGCTTGCAGCCCAGAAAGCCAACCGTATCCTGGGCTGCATCAAAAGGAGCGTGACCAGCAGGTCAAAGGAGGTGGTCCTGCCTCTCTACTCTGCTCTCATGAGACCTCACCTGGAGTATTGTGTGCAGTTCTGGTGTCATCAACATAAAAAGGACATGGATCTGTTGGAACAAGTCCAGAGGAGGCCACGAGGATGATGAGAGGACTGGAGCACCTCCCATATGAAGATCGGCTGAGAAACCTGGGGCTGTTCAGCCTGGAGAAGAGAAGGCTGCATGGGGACCTCATAGCAGCCTTCCAGTATGTGAAGGGGGCCTATAGGGATGCTGGGGAGGGACTCTTCATTAGGGACTGTAGTGATAGGACAAGGGGTAACGGGTTAAAACTTAAACAGGGAAAGTTTAGATTGGATATAAGGAGGAAATTATTTACTGTAAGGGTGGTGAGGCACTGGAACAGGTTGCCCAGGGAGGTTGTGAATGCTCCATTCCTGGCAGTGTTCAAGGCCAGGTTGGACAGAGCCTTGGGTGACACGGTTTAGTGTCACCCCCTCCAGGGGGGCTGGAACTGGATGATCTTAAGGTCCTTTCCAACCCTGACTATACTATGATTCTATGAAAAGAGAAGAGCAGGCCTTAAATACCGTGAGGGAAGAAATCAGGTTAAAGCTGCCTGCAACAGGTTTCAGTATGTGTTTTGAGACAACTGGTAGTGAGGCTTGGCTTCAAAATCCATACAAAGGAGTGATATTCCCAGCATGTGTTTGAAGAACACAAACATCATAGAATCAGAAGCTTTGGGCAATGTCACTGATTAAATAATAAAAAAATAAAAAGTAGAACTCTGATTTGATTTTAAATTTTGGCTTATTTTTTGTTCTCTCAGCTTTGCTGGTACACAGTACTCCTCACTGTTTTTCCTGGGAAAATAGGAAATATGGACAAACCTTGATGGTGTTCCTTTCTGCCTGGGCCTGCAGCACTTGGGGCAGCTGTTTGCAAGTGGCCAAGGCATAAATCCTCTGTCATCCAGAATGGCACGATCAATGATTGCTCCATTCAGCCAGTAAGACCTTGCACACAAAATGGAACAGCACATGGCACACAGGACAACATCAAAACACAGCTCTACTTACACACGGTGGGTTTTGACTGAAGAAGTAAAACCAGGAACTAGTAAAATTTAGAGGAATAAGGTACAATTTAATAACTACAATAAACAGCGACTAACCATGCCATAGTGCAGAGGTTTCCATAAACCCATTAAGTCTGCAAGGCTGCTGGAAACAGTGCTATCTTCTCAGGTAAGAGAGCTGGAGCAAAGAAGGGGTACTCCTCAATTCATCCTTTTCTTCACACCTAGGCAGGAAATGCTTTCTGATGATGGTAAACCACAGCAAACACAAGAAATCACCGCTCTATCACAACATGCAAACCTGCACTCATGACGTAGGGTGCTCCCAGCAAAGAGCACTCCCAAACTTCTGCATTTTAGGAACATCAGCCACCCACTCTGTGGACATGCTCTACCTGTGGGATTTCTCTTTTGCTCTTAAAGGGCTGTGGCTGCTAGTGCATTATTATGGGTGACAATTTTCATAATCCTTTTTGAAGTCATGGTTAAGTGGCCCTTTCAGAATTTGAGTGTATTTTATTTTTGCTGTTTGGATAAGACAGACTACAAGCATTGATTTGAAAAATGAAGTTTGTTAATACCCCTCTGGTTTTAAAAGAGAAGGTCTGGCATACACATCTTCCCTTTGGGATTCTGATTTCTCAGATCTGAACCATATGCAGCAAGGGAGCCATCATTTGGCAGTAATGCAGAGCATGGCAAGGTGACATTTTTGTTCACAGAACTCTTTGAACACACTGGATTTTGCTGAAATATAGGTAAATGTTTGATGAAACTGTAGCTGGATAAATTAAGACTCTCACAAATAAAGTCACTTGAAAGCATGGCTCCATGGGTGAAAAACTGGTATCAATATCCTGTTGTCCTAAATGGACCTGAATATCACTGCAGGCCAGGAGCATGAAACCTGAGGGCTCAGCTCCTTGCTGTAACAGCAGGAGGAATGTACTGGAGGAGTTTTTACTTTAAAGAATGATAAACCTTTTACCAATCAACCCCAGAATATACCCAGCCACTAATTCCTCAGCCCTGTGTGCTGGTGGCTAACCTTCTGTGTTTCTTATCCTCATCACATTCCTGTTTTGGATATTTTCTGTTTTGTTTAGTAAACTCAGATGTGCTAAACAATGCTGCAGGACTTTCCTTCTCCAATCTCCGTATCATTCTGTAACACAACGCTTCATTGCCACTTCATACTGTGATGAGAAATAATGCACTGACTGCAATGTATATTGCTTGTGTTCTTCACTGCAACAATGAGTCATTATCTAGAGTATGTTTATGTAATATCATAAATACCAATCTCTGGTATTTATGCAGCATAGTATTTACTTGGGCAAGTTGCCACATGCACTAAAGAAGTAAACAAAGAGCCATTCTTTGGAGGGTTAAAAAAGTCTTAAAATGAATCCAATTTTCCTTCATAAGGCACTCCTTGTTATTTTACCTAAAGTGGCTCTTTAAGATATACAGTATGATAAAACACACAATTCCTGGGAGACATAATTATGGTTCCTAAGAGACTGGTGAATAAACAATCAGGAATAGAGTGTTTGTTTTCCCTATTTTTTTCTTAACTATTAATGGAAGGCGTTAAAAAAAAATGGGGAGGAATGTGTTGGGTTGATAAATGGTAAGAAAAGCTGAGGAGCACATTTCACTGAACACACAGGGTTTCTGCCTAAAAGCAATAAAATTAAAAATTATTTTATTAGACTGCAAATACTCCTATTTTGAAAGCGCATTTGCGGTGAGTGTAAATACCACACTGGACTCTTTGTCTTATATTTACTGTACTGTGTACATCAATGGCACAACATGTGTTCTGAAGTAAAGCTTGCCTTGTCTCACATTAACTTTAAGCATTAACACAAATAACTTCCTTCAAATGAAGGCGACAAAATCTTCTGCATTGTAACAAAATGTTCTGTTGGACACAAATTGCTAAGGAATGGTAGTGGGCCCTGTCTGGCACAGCGCTGAGCCATTGCAAGTACTTCTCCAGCAAATCAGGGGCAATGCAGACAACCCTGCACACGTGTGGCCACTGGAAACCTAGAAAACAAAAGATAGTTAAAAAAGGCTAAAGCTAGGCAGAATCAACAGCTGAAGAAAACTGTTTTGCAACCTGTGTATATCAGAATGCAACTGAATTGGGGAAGTGTTCAACAATATTGGTCCCCATAAAGTCATTCAAGTGATCCATCCCCTAAAACAGCGTCTCCCAAAGCCATGAAACACCTCTCTACATCAGTTTCCTCTTCCGTAAATCAGGTTGATGAATCCAAGATATTCCTTTTATTTGGTAGTGTCAGTCCTCAGCTTGCCATCATCAGTAGTATTTAATGACGGACTTTGCAGGAC